GTCCCCCTCTCATTTCATTTTGGCCTCTTCCTGCATCTCTTGCCCTGCGAGTGCACGAGTGAACACTGGAGTGCTCTGGAAGGTTTGATTCAGCGAAGAAGGGAGGATTTGCCATGGCTTGGATAGGCAAGTCAGAGCTCAGCTCCCTCCCCAGTGGAGAGCGTGCATCTGCTCAGAGCCTGTCATCAAGCTGCTCCCGAAGAATGGCAGCTCCTGCCACTGCATGGCCTCAGCCTTGGCCTCAGCTGGTGGGTCTAAATGGCTGTTTGTTCAGCCTGAGCTGGGCAGAGTCAGCCCTGACAGTGATGGCCTGGTGGGTATTATTGAAGGGGGCGGGGGACCCAACTTACCTGCTGGTAGACAGACAAAGCAGATGATTTGACAGGCAAAACAGAGCCAGCCTCCTCACTCCCAGGCAGCCAAGGGGTTATTCAAAGCCAGGACCTGGAAGATTTCATGAGGTGCTGACATACGAAGCCGGAATGCAGCAGGAACGAGGCAGAACTGACACCCATGCAGTCAGGCATGGCGGGCGACTCAGGGCATCCAAACTGGGTTTCAGCAGCTTTGACTAGGCCCCACCCATGTGAGAGAGAGAGTAGCTGTGGGGGAGGGGGACCCCAACTTTAAGGCCTGGGCTTTCCGCAAACCTCACCTTTGCCAACACTCTTATTATTGTTCAAGTGAGGAAAACCTTCCAGGCCTTTCGCATGGAAGACGCAGGTGCAGAGAGCCAGAAGTACTTGGCCCCTCAGTTACTGATCAAGGCGCCAACGTCAGGGGCAGCAAAGGAACCCTTTGTGCAAGCCAGGCACCAGCTATGAGCCCCACCCTGAGACACTCATTTCACCTTCACAGCAGCCCTGTAAGGTAATACCGTGTTATGTCTATTTCACACATGAGGAAAGTCTTCAAAAGAGTAACTTGCCCAAAATCACACAGCTGGGAAATGGCAGACCTGGGATTTAAACCCAGGTCTCCTAAGCAACCAAACCCATACTCCTTGTGTATAAATTAAGCCAGTTTGCAAGACTCATAAGACCCTGAATCATCCCCTATTTTCAATCCAAGTGGCTTCGACACTTTCCAGCTCTGTCACCCTGCTTGTATTTGTATACCTTCCCTCCTCAGGGCCTCCACATCCCCAACTGCAAAATGAGGTGCCTGTGAAAATGGAATGAGACAGGCAGGTGAGGGTGCTTGGCTGTTCACTGTTGTTAGTTCAGCATCACTGAGCTTTATCGCCACACTTTTCCACCATTCTCAAAAACCACACCCACCCACCCCCACCGAAGGAGGTTGCCAGACCTATACCAATGACACTTTATCTGGTCCCCTCTCAGGACTCTGAAAGTCCATTCTCTGCCCAGTGTCACGAACAACTTGAGAGCAGAATTGCACCCAACTTGTTTGTCCCCAAAACAGCACAGAGTCCAGCACTCAGTAGGGACTCAGTAAGTGCTGTTGAATGAATGAAAACATGAATGAATGGTTTGCCACAAGACACATCACAGGTCGTGATGGAAAAGAGCTGGGAATCAGCCGGCCTGGCTCTGGCTTTGACACTGACTCACTACATATCCTTAAGCTACTCACTGGCCCTGTCTGGACTTCGGTGACTGCATTTCTCAAATGAAGGGGTTGAACTGGGTACTCCCAGCAGCCCATTTCAACTCTGATTTTGGAGGGTTAAGGAGAAAGATCACACCTTCTGCAGCCCACCCTCCCTATAAGAAGCTTAAGCTATATTATGGTCACATTTGAGATAGTCAGGGAACATTCTAAATAAATGGCGGATGTGTAGCCCCTGATTCAATCAGAAGCAGACAAGCACATTCTCAACACTCAGGTCTTTCAGTGCATGGAACAGAGACTTGTTCACGTGTGCACAGAGCTTTACCATTCACAAAGCACCTCCCCTCCTTTCTCTGACTTCAACCTCAGCATAGACTTCTAGGGGGACAAAACAGACATCACCCTGGCTTTTACTGACCAACAAAACTGGGGTCACAGGAATGAGATACTCACCAGGGTGTGAGAGGTGTGGGGGGTGTATATAGAAGATAAAGCAGCAGAGCTAAGATATGAAACCAGAACCATTCCTTACCCCAAGTTTTGCCTCCTTTCCTTACTTGTACACAGTGAGGAGGAAATAAACTCATTCAACCAAAGCCAGATTTGGAGGGTCCCAAGTTTACCACCTGAGTGGATAAATGCCCAGCATGAAGCAACATTCTAAAGTCAAATTTGGGGCAAAAGAGTACAATGCGCAGGTATCAGGTGGGCTTGTGGCCATGGAGAGTCAGCTTTACAGGGAGGCGAGAGTCCAAGCCCATGCCCAGTGGCCCTGTGCCGTGTCAGTGCAGCAGCCGGAAGGGTGACTTGCGTGCAACCTCCGAACGTGGAGGTACAGAAACACTGTCATGCCCCATAGATAAATAGCCCCTATTGGAGCCCCCACCCTCACCCCAACCCACATCCCCTTTCCCTGGTTGTCTCAAGATTCCCTGGAGCACCTCAAGATTCTGCAGCTAAAGCGTTAAAGCCTGCAACAGCAGGGATGAGGGGTGCTGTTTTAGCAGGCTTCCATTCTGCTTGGGATCTGCGCCAGCACATACATTCCGATTGGTCAATAACCCTGACTGACCGGCTTGATTTTTTTTTAACTGCTTGATTGAGCTATAATAGAACAAAAACCTGGTGTATTTAATGTGCACATTTTGATGAATTCGACACATGCATACTCCAGTGATGCTACCTCTGCAGTCAAGGTAACATGTGTATCTGCCATCTCCAAAGGGTTCGTTGTGCCCCTTTTTGTACGTGTGTGAAGAACACTTAATGTGAGATCTACCCTCTTAACACATTTTTAGGTGTACGACACCACACTGTTGTCTGTAGGCACTGTGTCCAAAGGCAGACACCTACAGCTCACTCACTCGTCTCGTATAACTGTGACTTCATACTGGTTTTTGACTTGGTTTATTATTGCTCCATGGGCTAGAGAGACCAGGGGGAATCTTTCAGTGATTCTCAGTCATTTTTAGTGTGAAGATACTTTTTTAACAGCTGTAAGTTGCACAGTTCTCACAACATGCACATGTACATTTACAGTAGATACACTTTTTAGTATACACTGATTGAGAAATTTCATGTTTAAAAACTAACCAAAACTTCAGTAACATCTTTAAATGAATTTGCACTTTACTTATAGCACAGCTTTAGACATATTTGAAAAGTAGCCATAAGTGTATGTGAAGACCTGTGGGAGACTTAACCACGAGGCCATGCCTGTGCACATGGACTGGAGCATATTTTGCTGCCTTCTTTTCCATGGGATAAAAATACTACTAATCTAGCCAATCGAATCTTCCCCCTCAATTCTACAGCTGAAGAAATGGAGGCTGGAGAGGGGACTGGACCTTCTCAAATCCACTCCCAAATTGGAGCTAAAGCTTGAGTCAGCTTTACCTCCAAAATTCACTGTGTCTAGGAGTGTTGTTTCGGATTTACTGTGTGCAGGGGTGCTGATTGGGAAGAGGACATCTGGGGCTGGGGCAGCAGTGACTTCTCCGTTACTGGGCAGAAATCATCCGTGGAGGTAGCCCAGCAAAGACCTACTGTCACTGAGGTCAGCCTCAATCCGTGGCCACTCAAGCCTATTGGACTCAGGGAAGAAGAAAATTTGGCAACACAGCTCAATCTCTGAGGGGAACCCACACTACCACAACCTGAGACCTGACGGATCAGAGGATCTGCACTTCTTACTGTCTACTGCAACTCACTCGAAAAAAATGTAGGGGCCCTGGAGGCAAAGGACATGGTAAGGCAGCATTGGAAGACTAATAACACATTAATATACTAGGGTATTGCTTTGGAACACCACAGGCTTCCGCAGGAAGCAGAGGACATTCAAATCCATCTCAGGTAGATGGTCTTGGCCAAGTTTTACTTAACCTTCCAGATATCAGTTTCTAAATCTGCAAAATGGGGCTGTTCTGAGGATTGACTACATCCACTAACAGATGGATAGCTCCTATTCAAAGCCTGATACAGGTGCATTGTCAACAAATGTTTAGTCTCCCAGCATCATCAGGAAAATCCAAACTCCTCCATCCAGCAGAGGAACTATCGCCTGACAATTGGTTTAAGAACCACTGCATTGGTCTGAAAAATAATCCTTTCCAGTCCCCTAATTTGAGTTTTTCTGTTTATTTTTCCAACCCTTTGCTCTTCATTTCTTCTTCTCTCCCATTTCCTATATTCAGCACTATTCCAAAGCAACTTTAAACTCAGGTGGGTCAACTCTGCTAGCCACACCCAGCTAAGCCGCACCCAAATTCCTGGCCCATTGAAACTGTGAGATAATAAATGTTTGTTGTTTTAAGACACTAATTTTGGGATAATTTGTTACATAGCAATAGATAATAATTATATTATTAGTCATGAGGGAAATACAAATTAAAGCTATGAGATACCACTACACACTCACTAAAAAGGGCAAAGTTTAAAAGACTTAACATACCTCGATCTAAAGTACAGCAGATTCTTCTCAGACTAGGGAAGAGCCCCAGTGCTGCTGAGTGTGGGCGGTGACCCCCGCCCCCACTGCCTTCCTGTTCACCCTCCTGATTACTGCCAAGCATCATCATGGCTTTTTGTCAGAAGAATCCACAAAGCTCACCTGATCAACCCCTTCTGACCCGCAGTGAGACCCGGGGCCTGGAGGCTGCACAGGAATCCAAGGCTCTGGAGGAGCCTGTCTCCCCTCCCGCCCTCCAATGCCTGGCAATTTGAAGGAGGCTCTTGATGCTGGTCTCCCCAGGACTCCTGCCAGTCCTCAGAGTTTCGACTCCTCCTCCATTACCACCAGTCAGCTCATCAAGCAAATCTTGTGAGGGCTCCAGGAGCACCTCAGAGGCAGGGCTTGACCCCAAGGACGTGTGGGTGGATTCTCTAGATGAAAATGTGGCTCTAGCCCTGACTAGTGTAGCTCAGTTGGTTGGGCGTTATTCCACTAAGTGAAAGGTTGCCTGTTGAATTTGTAGTCAAGGCACATGCCTGGGTTAGGGGTTCAGTCCCTTTTGGAGCACGTATAAGAGGCAACTGATTGATGTTTCTCTCTCACATCAATGTTTCTCTCCCTCTCCTTCTCCCTCCCTTCCCCTTCCTCTAGCAATGGATAAATAAAATCTTGAAAGGAAAATATGGCTTTGTTGGTGAATTTCCTACTGTTCAAGTACCAAATGAAAGAGCCAAAAACCAAGGCAGATATGTTGAACATTGCCAGCAAAGAGTATGGTGAAGACCACTTCACTGAGATCTTTGTGAGAGCCTCTGTGTACATGGAGCTAACCTTTGGCCTTGATGTGAAGGAAGTGGATCCCACCAACCGCTGCTATGCCATCCTTATCAAAATGGGACTCACCTCTGATGGGATACTGCGTGGTGAAAAGGAAACGCCTAAGACCAGCATCCTGATACTTATCCTGGGTGTGATCTTTATGAAGGGCAACTGTGCCACCAGAGAGGAAGTCTGGGAAGTTCTGAGTGTGAAGGGGTTCTATCTTTGGAGGAAGCACTACATCTTTGGAAAGCACAGGAAGCTCATCACCAACCACTTCATGGAGGAGGAATGCCTGAAGTACAACACCAGCAGGAGGCCACCAGTGATCCTGCACAACTTAAATTCCTGTGGGGCCCCAGAGCCATGCTGAAACCACAAAGATGCAAGTCCTAGAGTTTCTGGCCAAGGTTCACGACCATGACCCAAGTTCTTTCCCATCTCAGTGTGAGGAGGCATTGCAAAATGGAGAGAACCCAGGCCAGAATTTCAGCCAGGTCTGTCTCCATTTCCATGGCCACTGCCAGTTCTAAGGGATAACCCAGCAACTCCTCCAATACCTAGGAAGTCAGGGATAGTGTTTCCTCGTGCATTGTTTGAAGAGGCAGTTTGTGGTCATAGAGTTTGGGGCTGAGATGGGGCTGAAAGAACAGAGTATATGCCTGTGTTCCTCTTTTATATGTGTAACTTGAAAATCTGTTCTTTTATTTGTTGACATGTGTTATTCAAATATTTTTTAGCATAGACTTAATTAGCTTCCAAATGTTCAAGTTTATGAATTATATTGGTCACCCATGTCATGCTCTAAGGAGCTTGCAGAGTAAGGTAAGTGTTTTGTGGTTTTGGAAAACAAAATGTGGAACCACCCATCTCATGTTGTCATCTGTAAAAAGACAACATGGCATTGCGATAGCCATGTCCCCAGAAATGTAAAAGAAATGTGCTTTAAGAAAGTTGGGATCAATGGAGAAAGATAGAGAAGAAAATATAAATGCTATTCAAATCTTGGCTTTTTTATGTTTTTTAGTTCTTGTTGTGTAAAATTAACTGATACATACATGTATTTACCAAGCTCTTTCAAGAAATAAATCTTTAATACATTAGGAGAAATAAAATATATTAGGAGAACATATCAATTGTTGGTAATGAGGTGAAGCAACCAGAACTCTCAGATGCCACTAGTGGAAATAAAAGACACACAGCCACTTTGTGAAAATGGTTTGGCAATTTCTTTAAAATTTAAACATACACCTACCATCTGACTCAGACATTTCTCTCCAAGAGAGCTGAAATCATGTGTCCACACAAAGACTTGTACACAAATATTCAATCAGCTGTGTTTTTAATAGCCAAAAATGGAAACAACCCAAATGTCCATCAGTGAATGAATGGATGAACAAATTGTGGTGTATCCATATAATGGAATGCTACTCAGGAAAAAAAAAGGACTTGACTATTGATATCACAACACAGATAAAAATCAAAGTAGTCATGCTGAGTGAAAGCTGTCAGATCAGATGAACACACTGTGTTACTCCATTTATGTAAAACTCCATAAAATGCAAACTAGTCCATAGGAAGTAGATCGGTGATTGCCTTCAGATGGTGGGAATGGGAAGCCAGATCGTCCATAAGGGTCATGAGGAAAATTTTAGGGGTTATTGAGGTTAATTATCTTGACTGGGGTGAGTTACAAAATGTCCTTGGAGACAACTTGGTTGCACTATATTAAGAACCATAAAAACGTCCCTGGGCTCATAAATCTCAATCTTTGGTATTTGCCTTAAGGATATTTTAAAATAAACAAAAAGATCTTTATGCAAACACATTCATAGCAGCATCACCTACATCAAAGATATTTCAAATCACCCATTTGCGCAGCTGCCATGAAAGGGTTAAATCAACACTGGACTTTTCATTCACAATTATAGGTGAAAATGGGAAGTAAAGGGCAACATGCAGTTATGTTTACAAAGCAATGTAGATGCACTATGTACAGAGACTACAGAATTGTGTATACAACATTTTCACACCTATGTAAACATACAAGTATATATATAAGAACACAAAGGAGAAAAAATAGAATGCAGAAAAACCTAGTAAATGAATGATATAGGTAACTGGCATGTGGGTGACTTTTTCTTCCTGTTTTGTCACCTGTAATGTTACAATGTTTTCATAACAGTTTGTAAAATGTCTTCTTGTTGGTTTTGGCCCAGTTTCCCAACCTGGCGATTGTTCCAAATCTTGCAACTGTCAACTACCAGCATCAGCACCTCAGTGTGGTCAGCCGCAAGCTCAATCAGCTTGCCTTCCATGTTTTCTAAATTCTCGATAGAATGCTAAACAGTGCTAGGGTGTGGTGTAAAGGACACACTCTTTTATTCTCTTGGGGGAAATCTTCATCACTGTTAGTTTAGGTTTTTTTCAATACCACAGATGACAGAATGCAGCTCCCTTGGGAAGTGTACTGGGTGGTCAGCAAAGTCAACCTGGAGAAGGAGGTGGAGCTATTTACCTACACTATGATTGTTTTACTCATTCATTGGGTAAAAAACAATGTCAATCATCTGTGGCAAACAAAAGCTCTGACCATCAGAGGCAATTCCACAAGCCATATCAGGCAGGGGTGTCCAACCTTTTGGCATCTCTGCGCCACATTGGAAGAAGAATTGTCTTGGGCCCCACATTAAATACATTGTGACCCATAATCACAAAAAAAATCTCACAATGTTTTAAGTAAATTTATGATTTTGTGTTGGGCCACATTCACAGCCCTCTTGGGCTCCATGCCGCCGTGGGTCGCAGGTTGGACACCCCAGGATGGTCTATGAGAAAGTTAGAACTTGGAAAAAGGAAGTGATAGAAGCATGACTGGACATACTTGGACACAATTTGGTGGCACTATATTAAGAACTATAAAAATATTCTGGGCCTCATAAATCTCATTGTTAGGGCTTTGTCCTAGGGACATTTCAAAATAAATAAAAAGCCCTTTATATAAACTCATTCATAGCAGCACCACCTATATCAAAGGCATTGGAAATAATCTGATTGCCCAGCTACCATGAAAGAGAAAGAGGCTTCACTGTTGTTATTCTACTGACCCAGAGCCAAGTTCCAGCAGTCCATTGGTCCCACCACCTGGGGCCACGTTGTCCTGGCTCACACACCACCCACCAAGGGGACCACAGCAGCAGTCTCTCACCTCTTTCCCACTCCTGGAGTATGTCTGAACCCACATCAGGAGGGAAAGCCCAGACCCCCTAACCTTCCCTGTGGGTCCTAGAGTCCCACCCCACTGGGTGGTAGCACTTGGTGGCTTCAGGACTGAAGACCGTGACTCCGACTGTGCCCGACCCAGTGCCGAAGCTTTCCCAGCCCTCCTGCCAAAACGGTGGGCCAAGGCTGCTTGGGCGGAACACCAGGGCTGTGGGCAGACCCAAGGCCCTAAACGTCAAGGGTGCTAGGGAGCCCAGCTGCCCCTGAGACCCTGAGACCTCAGCCCAGTGGGGCAGAGTTGGCCGAACTGTCTGTCTAGCGTGGTCCCAGGATCATCCCAAAGGCCTCTGTGCCTGAATCTTGGACAAAAGATGCTATTTTGAGTCTGAACCTTCCCTCACGCCGTCCTCATTACCTGTGACACCTCTACTTCTGGGCTCTTCTGCAGCGGCCCACCTGCCTACATGACATACCCACTCACCATGCCTTCCAGACCCAGTGTTCCTTGGGTTCTCCTGCACGTAGCCCCAATGACCCATCAGTGAGAGGCCTGAGACTCGCCCCCAGATCTCCTTTTACTGTTAGTGTATTTAATGTAAGTGCTTAAAACAGTGTCTGCATATGAAAAAAATTTTTATGTGTCTGCAGTTAGTTTTAGTAATCTTCACAACTCTCTTATCACATCACTATTATTCCCATTTTCTAGATTGAAAAAGTGAGACTCAGAGTGGATAAGTGGCCAAAGCTCAGAGGGCTAGAAAGAAGCAGACAAAGACACTGACCCAGGACTGGGTAACGCTAGGCAATTGGCTCTCCCAGCAGGGCCACACTGTGCTTGGGCCAAGCCCTGTGCTGGTGACTCAGGGGCCCAGTGGTGTGAAACCATACTTCCTGCCATTGAGAAGCTCCCAAAGAATAAAAACCATCATAACCAAATCATCACACACACACACACACACACACACACACACACACACACATGTCACAAGTGCCCAAACCCTAAGGTGCTGGGGTATGCTCAAAGAGGGAGTGTTTGACCTACGCAGGCTGGATCAGGGAGGGCTTCCCAGGAGAGGAGACATTTGAGCTGAGGTGGGGAGGTGGGAGGTGAGCTTTTCCAGGCTGAGGGTATGAACTTATGTGAGAGAACTGGAGAGCACTTGGTGAGGAGTCTTCTGAAGCTGGGGGCAGGGAAGACTAAGGGAGACAGGGAGGGTGAGAAGGGGCTGAATGTGTAGGGAAGGCCCTGAAGTGCCAGGCCAGGCAAAGTGCACTTGATCTTGCCTTGGATGAAGGGGAGCCATTGAGGGCCTTTGAGCAGTGACAGAGAATGGGCACACCCTGCTGGGAAGGGCAGCTTGGAGCCTTAGACGTATCCAGAAAGTTGGCATGGTGCAATCCTGTTTCACCCACCCATCCCTGGGCCAGGTTCATCAGGTCAGAGGGAGCAGAGGGCTCCCAGGGGCCCTGGGCAGAAAGAGGAGAGGAGCATTACTCCTACTTGCTCCACTGTCCTCCTGGGTGGACGTCAGTCTGTCCTGGCCTTGCCACTGTCCACGCCAGCCTCCGGGAGGGAAGGGGCTGATAGGGCAGCTGGGCCGTGGCTGGAGTTGGATGGAGCTGGCTCCCTTCCCACCCGCGGGCTCTCTCCAGTAGTGGCTGGGAGAGGTGCCTGGAGGCGGAGGACATGCGCAAGCAGATTCATACACTGAGGCCCAGAGACGGACGGTGAGCCCGAAAGAGACACACACAAGCCTTGAAACGGAGAAAGAGACCCAAAACTACCCACAGGAAAAGGGCCAGAAAAAAGCTGAGCCGCCCTCCGATGCACCCGAGGATCCGAGTGGCTTCCGACTCCCGGCGCCGTCACCCGCCTTACGCTGTAGGGGCTGAGCAAGCAGCGGGAGTCTTCGGGGGACCTGCCCGAGGCGCCGTGCCCAGCTCTAACCGAACTCACCCCCATCCCCGCCCCACCCCACCCCGGGAGCCGAGACTGAGGGGCAGCTGCCGGCGCGCTGCGCTGATGGCCGCAGCGCCTGCTGGAGGGGTCAAGGGTCCCCCAGTCAGAGTCCTGGAGCCCCCACAGAACCTGGCCTGGGCAGGGCGGACATGCCACTGTCTTCCTGTGCCCGGGGCGGTCGAACTGGAATCCAGGCCAGGGCGCTTTCCCGTTGAGGGGGTGCCCTGTTGAAATTGCCCTCCAAGCCTGGACTCTTATCGCCCGAAATGGACACCCGCAATG